TTCTCAACAGTTGAGATTGAAAGGTTTTGTTATTAATCAACAACCATAGTACCATAGTAACCGAAGTAGTACTTCTTACGGGGTTACTCACTGTAAAGGTGTTACTTTTTTGTGACTGTTTTCTATCCAAAAGGTTAATCATGGTTCATGGTGGTCATTCTGGTTAAAGATCTGCTGCTTCATTTTGCCATTGCATTTCTGTCAGCAGCTCTGAACAAGCAGAAGAACTAATGACACTTCATCACTCCACGCCACCTGTGGGTCAGTAAGAACCGGTCCACTGCAGCTGAAAAGTTTGCGCTACTAATGATTATAATGGTATTGTAACATATAACTCATTACAGGGAGTGGCTGCTCCTATATTAGTGCATTTTAAGCTTTTGTGCGGAACAGTCTTGTTTAATGACTACAGTGGAAACGTGTGATGTTTCCATTCTGAGATGTTGCTTTGATCTAGGATGTTACGTCACTCACTAAAATATGGGAATTTCTCAGACTGATCCTCCTAAAAACCAGATTTTCTGTATAGGAGGAGGTCTAAACAGTCACTTCAGAAACTAAAATCTAAACTGGGACACCACAAGAAAGTTCAGTCATAAGAGGGAGCATCAAGCATTAGTCTTCACTCATCTTCTCTCCCTCCATCCTTCTGTCCTTCCCACAGGCAGCTCTTGTCTGCCCCCCAGGGTCTCTTCAAGGCATCCGTTAACTCATAGAGCGATAAATTTTCACACTTAAGAGTGGCAGGAGGCACAGCCGGAAGGATGCCCCTTCTCTTGTATAAAGGCACAATGTAAAAAGAAACAAAAACTACAACTAAAGGCTTCTATAGCCACTGCTATAATGCCACTTGTTATCTAGTACAGTATCAATTCAACATTGACTATGGTAAATAGCTAACACATCTATTGTAGAAGCTAAACACAAATCAGATTGATCAGTGATGACAATTGCAAGAGTAAGAAATAGTTTGTCCATTTCTTTTAAAGGGGTATTCCACCAATATAGTATTGGTCATCTGATGATATCCTGACTTTTAATCCTATGGGTCAAGCTCCAAAACTGCTGGATGCTACATTTCCCATAACAACAGCGTCTTTCATTTGACTCTTCCTGCCTGACAAATGTCCATCTCTCCTAGACCAAGCTAAGACGACCCTGAAGAGATCGTCAGGAATAAACATTATACAGCTGTTCTCACAGGTTAAGCAGAACTTCTCATTATGTGTAAACTGAACTTCATATGTGAAAGAAAAAAAAAATACATCAGTGGATTGGCCCTTTAAAATATTTGGATTTAAAATCATATGTTTATTGAGCCACTCGGTGTATAACTTGAAAGCCTTTATAATAAGCATGTAATTTTAGTGTATGCTCTACATTAGCTCTATAACGTCCTGAGGTGCTGTTTGTTCTTTGGGTTATCTGTTAATAAATCCGTTGTTTGCAATATCAGCCTGAAGCCTTTTTAGAATATTATTGCGATTACAAACTACACAAATAATCTTGCCTTGACAATACCAGCAGAATATCCACAGGACAAACTCTCATACATGTTCTGTGGATTGAAGCACTGTTTGGGTTTGGGGGTAACAAGAAAACTTAACCAAGTGTAACATATATATCCAATGTGTAGAGTGGAAAGCTTCATTAGGAGTGCTGGTTTCTCTGATATGTGCAACTAGAGGCCTGAGGGATTGGCAGGAGAATGAAGCTTCTCTCCACTCTTCTTCCAATTGTCCTAAAATTAATACAACAGATAAGAATTTTGACACAGGGATAAAAATAAAAGGCGCCTCTCTTCCAGAAATTATCTCCCAGCGGATGAGTGTGACTTAATGCACCCTCATTTACACACAGCATATAAACTCACACGTACACAGCTGGAGCTCACACACAAACCTCCCCAAATACTACACACACCTTTTAGAACGCACACAAGAGCACTCTATGCACACACCGACATCCAAAAATCACTCACCATGTAAAAGCAGACAGATTGCACACACACACACATACACACAAAGGTAACCTATGAAAATCCAAGAATACACCAAATAAAAAGCTTGCTACAAATTGAGCTGAGCTACAGGGAGGATAATAAGAAGAGCAAAGAGGAAGGATGGCTAGAGGGAAATAGGAAGAGCAGATTATGCAGCTAATCATTGCTGTGCATTTTGGTCAGGATGCAGATTCGATGAGCAGTCTGAAAAATCCAAAAACCTGTGCTGGTGCAAAAAAGAAAAATATATAACGTGAAACTGTAGAACTTCCTCACCGAAAAACAAATAGCTGCTACACGAAGGAAACTCAAGTCTACTAGCCATTTTGAGATATGTTTCTGTCCTTTGTATCCCTGTGATTTGGCAACATGTTACCATGCACAGTAACATGTTAACTAATTCTTATTTTCTGAGGGATGACTACAAAAACAATATCTGCTGACATTGTTTAAACTCAGAATCAAATATTCTGCGCTGCCACCAGATTTTCTTTCTAGTGAACTTAAAAAGAGAAACTCAAGAGACAAAAGACAACACTAATATCATTATTCTGTCTACTAACGATAACTATAATACTGATTATAATATTGATTACTAACAACAGATTCAGAAAGCCTTGGGGAACATCTAACTACAACTCATTGCCATATTTCAGGTAATAAAACACACCCCCTGGTGGCCATGTTTAAGGTCTTGCACAGTCAACACTTGACTGTCTGAGCAGTAGTGAACAAACATGGTTAATATCCGTCTGGCTTTGACCTAATCGTGTATGAGATTTTGTGATTGATCAAGTACATAAAGGACGGTACTATGTTATGCTGGGCAAGTCAGGCTAAACATAAAGAGCAGAGCATCAGTGGGGAAATTATAGTGCAAGTTGAGCTCCTATCAACCAAATTTAAAGAACATAATTTAAATTTTGCACAAGACAATCTATTCCTGATAAAAGTAAACAACAATTGGCCACATGATACTTTTTTATATTGTGACACTGAGAAGTATTAAACGTAACCATTATTGATCCTGATTATCTATGAGATGTGCTTCTTACATTACCAGACAAACTGTTTAAAACAAATAAAAGCAAAAAAACCTTTCACAACATACAGAAGCAGGCATTCAAGAGATTGCTGTCAATAAAGTTGCTTTGGAATCAACCAGTATATGAATGTAAATGTAAAAAAAAAGTAGAGACAAATGAATGATCAACAGTACCAGTCACAGAGCCTGTGAAACAAAAGCAGTCTTCTTTTGACAATCTGGTTTAGGGTTTCGTCTGTAAATCAAAGCCATCAGATCTTCATGCTTCATTCAGCACACAGATGCTCTGCTGCTGTCGGCTGCTAATTCAGCTCCAACCACATTACTCTTCTCCTTAATAAGGTTTACTGAGTGTCTGCCGTACCAAGCCTCAGCCTGTATCAAGCAATGCTTTGCAATGTGTATGTATGTGTGTGTGTGTGTGTGTGTGTGTGTGTGCGCATTTGTAAAAGCTCTTTGTGGTGTACTGGTGCTGTAAAATATTGTGTGTGTGATTATATGCATGCTTGTTTAACACTGCCATTGGTTGTTTGCTTGAAAATCAGGACAAGTCTAGTGTGTGAAGGCCAATATTTATTTAGTATTTGTCCTAAAAAAGCAGTGTGTATGTGTTTGTGTGTGTGTTTACTGCTTTAATGATCGCCTTACAAAAAACAAATACTCTGTGTGCTTATATCCAAATCAGATAAGGTTTGCCTCTTTAATTACAAAACAAGGACAGGTGTATATGTACAGTATTTTGTATTTATCCCATATGTAAATCTACAATAAGTTACAAGTTGTCATTTTACATCTGTTATGAAAGCAAGAAGTGTGCGTGTGTGTGTGTGTGTGTGTGTGTGTGCGCTCAGGAAAGTATCTTGATTCACTACAACGAGCGTCATTGAGTTTAGAGATGGTCTCCTCGTTTTGTTTTATTCATTGTTCCCACTCGATGATCTTGCCTCTTTAGTCATTCATATTCCCTCAGAGACACTGCTTTAAGGTGCAGCTGTTCACATGCAGCCTCATTGGATAAACCGAGTCACGCAAATCAAATGCTGAAAAACAGATTTGTATAAATCAAGAGTTTGACTGAGTCAGCACAATGAGACATGAGTATGGAGTATGGATTAATTGCCTGGCTGAAGGTCACACTGACACTGTCCTAAATAGATCCGGGGAAGAGGAAATGCACTACAGCTGCAGCTTTGCTGGACCAACAACAATGAAATCGCAAAACTGATTGGAGCATTTTCTAAACTGACAAGTTTTTTTCTTTTTTGAAAAGGGTCAAAAGGTCAAAGGGTAATACAAAGAAACAACTTGTTCTGGTGCTCTTAAGATTTCTGGGATTGCAAAATTAAGTTATTAACTGGGTTTGTATGTATTTGTATCTGTTTCAGCAGCAGGTTGTAGGATTCGGCACCAAGACAAAGTGTAAACCTACACCGGTGGCTCTGTGAGGCTGTACTAAGTTACAGTGCACCTTTGGCTTACATGCTAATGCTAGCATGCTAAGAATTAATGTATTATAGGAAATGGATACTGGACTCCAAACTAGTTATTCACTAGAATCTTTTAGTGACCAAGTGCTGGGTCAGAAATTTGACCTCATGAGAAGAGAAATATTAAACTATTACACTAAGAATCACACAACACAAACTGAGATACTAAAATATTCTACCAAATAAAATTTATTTACCAAAAGATTTAGATTTATCATGACTTACATGTTTCTATAACAGCATTTTGAAATGTTTTAACCCTGTCCAGAACAACAATGTATAAGAAAATTAAACCACTTAACACATCTCAGATAGTTTGATGGCCGCTGAGAAAATGATAAAAAGCTTGATCCAAACAAAAGTTGTTTTTTAAAAAAACAAAAAAAACAAAACAAAAAGCATTCACAAGCTTATTCACATTTAAAAAAGAACAGCCAACCATTTCCTGTATTTTTTCTGTTTGTCTTCCGAGACCAAACTGTTAGGAAAGTGGTACAATGACAGCGATATCAAACTAACAGAGCCCAACATACAATTTAACTGATCGAGATGAGATTAAAATGACATGTAAATTAACGTCTTATAAAAAATATTTTTACTTTTTTTTTTACTGTCTGTGTATAACTAAAGTCCTTGCTGACAAAATGATTCTGTAACTGGATTCTCCAAGAGTGTTAAGATATTTTATCAGATAGTTTATTAGTTATGAATGAATACTCTAAATATTCCTTCTTTTGTGTTTTGACTCATTCGTGCATTTGGGTTAGGAGTTGGTTTGGGGCGGATTGCAGGAGGTGCGACCTACCTGGCCCCAAACAAAGGAAATAGGATGCCACTGTTTCGCAGGTGGAGTGGAGAAACAGGTACACCTGGACAATGGAATCAAACATAGTATTAATATCAATATAAATATAACTTTTAAATTAAATCTTACAATGTTGGCACATTATATAGTTACAGATTAATATAAATGAATACTTTGCCTCCATATTGTGAGTGACAAATTGGTTGTGACTTATCATTATTGACCCACATTATTGTCTCAGGAGAACATTTATTGTGCTTTAGTTCTCTGTGTCCTAACCACTTCTCTAACATATATGTATACACATGCAATATATACAAATATCAGTGAAAAAGAAAAAGATTCCCCAGAAGAAGCCACAGCATTACCTCCATAATAACCAATGGGTCATTTTCATGTTGCCCCTATACCAGACACTGATGTCAGCGCCTACCGACCACACTCGGAGTACACGTCAACATTACAGCAGCAAACCAAAAAACTTCAACCACTGGAGGTCAGCAAAAGCAAGAGTTTCAGCTCAGTTTTTAGTTACTCGTGTTTCCATGATAATAATAATAATAATGATAATAAAAAACAAAATACAAAGGTAATCCATGAAATGTTCATTTTCAGTTCTGCTCCATACTCTGCAGAGACTCCACAGTGTTGTCTCTGAGGAGCTGCTCAACAACAAGCTGAGTACTGAGCCTTTCACAGGTAACAAAACTGCTGAGCAGTCAAACTCAGCTGTAGGCACATCAAGAGAGATACAACAGAATCGCAATGAGGGCAAAGTGCAGAAGTTGCATTTGCGTGATAGTGTAAAAAAAATTTTTGGGTCCAGTTTCTGCAGTGTCAGGTTTTTCAGGGAACCGAACATACAATTTCTCAGGTCATACAAGGAGACAAAACACAGAGAAGAGGAAGGATTGCTATTAACTACAGCCATTAGCCTGTCGTTAATACATATTAACTAGTTAGTATATATTAACTAGAATAAACTACAGGGAATATCATCAGACACATGTCAAATTTTGTTGCCTGTGTGTAGTCACATATGTTTTCAGAACACACATCTGTCATGCACTAATCCCAGGTTCTATCTTGTGCTCTTATCTGCATTTGTGGAGCTATGTGAAGCACTCAGTAATTCTACAGTTTGCAAAAAGCAATTTGCAGATATATCTATATTGACCCACTTTTGTTTAGCTTTTTTCATTAACACTGGTGGAAGTGGAAGCATGGTGGAACAGCAATGTATCGATATCAGGACAAATGCAATGAAAGCAGCTTGTTGGGTCAAATAGCTCTGGTAACAGGTCTAATTGAATCTGTGTCAGGTTCTCAGTACAGGTACATCTACCACTGCAAGCAGCAGGATGGAAATCAATACGCCCTCTCTGCATCCATGGATACACTCTAATTTCATTGAAGGCTTTTTTTCTGTGTGTGGTAGAGAGAGGGAGCGAGACAGAGCGAATGTGTGCACATGTGCAGGTTAATGAAGGTCATAGTATAATTCTATTAGAAAATGGCTGTGTGTGCAAGAGAGAAGACAATCCTTTGTGTGTACATTAGGACTTTTGTTCAACAATGTTATCATTTTACAATTTGGAGGAAAAGATAACTACTCTTACAAAAGACTAAAGCTCTATGCTCTATGAAAAATCAAATGTTTATATACTTGTCAATTTGTTCACATTGTGTACTGTAATTCTCTATATAAATAAATCAGTATGTGTGTATCTACCCCGAGTGAAGTTCTGGATTTGGCCCAGGTCAGGGGTGTGGAGGCTCAGGGTCCTCAGGATCGGAGGGGGCTTGACCAACAAGGGGGCAGCGACCTTCGGCTGGTGCTGCTCCTCTTCGAGTGTTGGACAGCAGGAGCTGGAATAAATGCTGGACGGAGTTGTTGGAACAGTCACGCCCAATGGCTGAAAACAGAGTGAAGTTTCTTTAATGGCCAAAAAACAACTATCATTTATTATTGTGCTTTTAAAGTGCTTTACAAAAACCTAAAATCCCCATTGATTTTGCTTCCATACACCCAAACACAAATGATGCCTTCTCACTTTAACATCAGCTTTACAGTGAACTGGGGTTGTCTTGGTCTGGATCAGGTCAGGAGGGGCAAGACGGCTGGAAGTGGGATTTGTAGGGTTGGTAGGAGGAGATTTATTGGTCAAGGCCCAGCCCAGTTCACTACAGTTGAGGGTTTCATCATTTAGCAGAGCACTGAACGGGTTGACCTGCTTAACCTGAAGAAGACACAACAATAAGACTTCAACAGTGTTTTGTTCACACTATTGTGTTCTTGTCAACGCACCTTTATGTCCAGGTACAGATAGACAGCACTGTCTCCCACGGTCATAAAAGCTGTTTATGTTTATTGGTGTAACCTAACTGAGTTAAAACCTCAAAATTTCCGCTCAGTCTTTCAATTTATCACATCAAGTTTCAGCTATTCCAAAATGCTTAGTTCACCTGTTGCTGTAACACAGGTGTTGACTAAACATGTAAAAACATGGTGCCACACAAAAACTGAAAGCAGCATGTCAAATTTAAGTGTTGCAAATACACAGAATGAAGGCAGTGGTATTGTGGCTGTGGATGGAGTCGGGGTCAGGTGGTTGTACCTGGATGTGGGGGCTGACCTCATTGTCTTCTATAAACTCCAGGGCGGGAAGCTCTTCTTTTTCTCCCTGAGACACCAAGAAACGCCCAGCATGCTTCAGATTTCACAAGCAAATGTTACTGTACAGTTGTCTTTAGTTGAATTTGCTACATATTGATTAATATGTCCATAAATTTCCATACAGTAAATCCTGTAAGTGTGTTATATTGTACATTAGTTATTAATGCGAAAATATTCAAATTTTCATAGTAGCTTGGCTTCAAAGTCCTGTCACTTTACTCCAAACAGAAGATATTCATTCACTGCAACAGTTTTATGACAACGTTAACTGTAACTATAAGTGTAATATATAGTTCTAATAACTGCATGGTTTCCTGAAGCTGTTTATATTGGAGTCAGACTGCCTGCACCAAATTAACGACTGCCTCTATTACCATCAGATGAAACTCATACTTCGGGGAATAGAGGCACTTTTTAACACTGCAAGTCATTTTCAATTTAGCTACTTAATTGAATTTATAGATTGTATAGATTAACAATAAAAGAGACAGTATGAAGATCTGTCTGGCTTATTAGGTGACAGTGAATAATGGCTCAGGCTTACCCATTACATGTACACATTAAAGTAATTATTCAGAGCAGCATGTTGCAATGTTACAAATAAGTAAACATTAAGATTTTTTCCCACTGTCCTTGAAAGGAGAGAATTCGTGAGAATAATCTTCAAGAGCATAGTCAACACAGGCTGATAAAACAGTGTTAAAGTTTGAAAAAAACATCACCTGGAGACACATTTCATATACAGCATGGCTCAGGTTTGCTTCAAGTCTGACATTTACCAGGTGGGATCCAACTTTCAAGTCAGCTCCATGTTGACAAGATAAATTCCTTTCATCACAGGATTATTACAGAGAGGAGCAAAAGAACACACTTTGCCACCCCACCTGGTCTGCGTAACATTTCTGATATCCAATTTCAGAAATGGTAACATATTAACAACTTCACGATCTATGAACAGTATCTGTGGTTGGTCAACAGATACAGATTCATGGGGGTTTACTGTTGCCTTGTTCAGTTTTTGTAAGCCAGTATCAATCAAACAGCCCACTGAGTGCCTGCCATGTTATTTAATGGCCAACAACAAGCTGTGACCTTCCAACAGTATGACTATACATTAAGCAGCATTGGACTGCTGCCGCCACCCCCGACCCCCCCCACCCCTTCAGCAAAATTATGTGTGTGTTTGATCTGAATGTGTGCACTGTCTGTGTTTGTGTGTGCATGCCAATATGTGTGTTGAGGGTGCTTGGCGCTGCAGTGGGCCTGCAACACTAATAGTATGGCTGGTAAGATAAGAGCTATGGACATCAAAGAACAAAAGCCTGGTTACAGCAACATTAAAAGACTGCCTAAGAAAGAGGAAGTGAGAGAGAGCACACAAAGAGAGTGCACACATAGATAAGAAACAACTAAGACATAAAGCTGCAAAACCACAACAAATATCCTAGTAACCCACTATTGTACCCAATATTTTTTGTGGAGCTTTGCGGATGTGGGCAAATGATGACATTTACGTCACCTGGACCAAAGCGGACCCTCGCAGACATGCAGGTGCAGAAAGTATGAATTGGCCTTAAAGCCCTTAGTGTGTGTCAGGACTACCTTCCGTGAGGCTGACATGGACTGTTCAGGAGTGTTTTCTGGCTGAGGGCAGGAGGTCATCTCCTCTCCTAACTCTGGCAGGTCAACCTTTCCCTCCCCCAGGTAGAGAGTCACTGGACTGACCTGGACACACAGCTGAGGAAATAATATGGGACCAGTGAATTAATTCATGAACTACCCCGAATCAAAAATCTACCGATACAGCTAACTGTTACTATTACTGCTCTTCATTATGTGGTTATATCTCATACAGTGATTCAGTACTGAGTCACTGATGTTTGAGGCATGCTGGTATATCTTAAACATATTTAAAAGGACACTTGCCAGCTGATAAAAAACTGACATTTATTGTGGTCATGATACAAAAAACTTGTGCGTGGCTCACCGCTGCACTGGCTGCAGGGCTGCAGGGTGTCCCGTGTCCCTGGCTCAGCAGGACAGTGTGGATGTAGATGTCGTTATCAGTATGTGTGTCACACAAGTAGAGCTGCAACACATCTCCAGTGTAACACTCCAGAGCTCCCACCAAGGTGCGATCAGAGCACAGCTTCTGGAAAGAAGTTGTGGCCATAGCAGTCCAGCTGCCCTGCGAGAGATGAATGGGCACAGCACTAAGAAGCAGCTCGACAGTTTTAAATATATTCACATATGCAAGGGGAAAACTGTGTGCAAATGCAAGCAATTGGAAGAAAGCAAAGAAAACTTTCACATGCAATTTATTTCAACAATATACCCGCTGACTAACTGTTTAATACTTCTATTCATTTCTTATGGAACATTTAAATGATCATGAAGGGGTTGGATCTATCTGCAAGTTACTTATTTTTGAACTATCACGGTTGCTCTCTTTAAAAGCCAACCAGGAACGGTTTTCTGAACAAGTTGTTTAAAAGATGATATGTACTAGGAAAATCTGTGTGGTAAAGATGCAGGATGAATGCATTAATTAAGATGAAGTTCAACACTGTCTGAAGTACTAAACAGCACAGGAAGTGGATACAGCTGACATTTTGGTATTAACAAGAAGGTGATGCAGAAGTGTGCATGAAGGTTCACATTCGTCAGCGAGGTGTGAATATAATATTAGATCAGCTGTCAAACTCACAGTGGTGGGTTTAATTCCAGCGAGTGATGATGGAACAGCTTGTGCTGGAAGAACCGAATAACATGACCTGGGAAACAGAGAGATGTAGACAGCTCAGCAAAAAAACACACACACTGACCAGTTTACTTGTGGGACCTGTATGGATTAACTGCTTCAATGTTTGCGTTGGCCCTACTTCAGGAACTTGAGGTTGGCGCTCTGCACAACAGTTGTATCGCCAAAGTCGACATAGAACACTTCAACTTGAGTGGGGCTGATGATCTGATGGATCACCACCCGGTAGAACCACATTCCTTTAGGTGACACGCAGCAGATCTGACCCCGTCGGACAAACCGCTCAGGGAGGCGGTAGCGCTCTGACACCTCGGGACAGGTGTAACATCGCCTGTAGCAGAAAAGAAGAGAGGAAAAGTGAAAAATTAGGCAAGACCCGATGTAGAGTAAGTCTCAGGAATCTCGAAATAACGTGATGTTTGCCAAACTTGTTTTGTGATTTTTGAACAGTCCCTGCTTCAACTTAGCAGCTTCGGTCAAATTGGCCTAAATATGTCAGAAAATTATGTTCCGTCTTCAAAGTTTTTTTTTTTGTTGTATTGAAGACTATTTCGGGTATTTCGTTCAGCTTCTTTCATTTCTTTTTACATACTGTCTTTAAAAAAAAATCTTGAAATGAGAAAACTCGAGAGAAACTAATTTGGGGTTAAACATTTCAAAGATGCACGCAATAAATAGTCAATCATTCTTTACTCAAGTTACATGCTTAAGTATATTTCGGTTCATGTAATGATGAACCCCACTTTTTGAAAATATATGAAGATTTTAACATCAGACATATATGGATTGACTTAGAGTGAGAGTGTGCCAGGCATTATGAAAGGGTAAACACAGAAGGACATTACGCATTATATTACTCATTAGACTGTTCAGTTCCAAAAGGGAGTCCTAATAATGCACACAACAGATACAGGAAGTGTTAGTACATTATCTGTGAACGAAGCTGCAACTAAAACGTCCACCACCTCATCTCAATCATCATGTCATCCATAGCTTGCGCCTCCTTGCTCTCGCTGAAGCGGATGTAGAAATGTCCTGGTGACTCCACCTTTTCCACCAGAACCTCTACCAGCTCTCGAGCACCACGGCGCGTCGGCGGTCTGAGACATTGACTCTGCAGGGCATCCAGGGGCACAGCAGGGCTGCTATGCACCTGAATGGCAGGGTACACGTCCTCCACCACCATTTATATAAAAAGCAAAATGAGAGTGTTTTGCAGGACACAGCAGTGTTACTTTAAATTCAACATTATCCTACAGAACATAAACCAATAAAGTAATATAAAGTATTATTGAGTAATAAAAAGTAAATGAGTAGTAACAGGTTTCAGGGCTGTCTAACCTGCATGCATCAATGTTTTACACAAGGTACACTGACAATGGGCCACTGGAGCCTGCTTGTTAAGCGCAATGAAAATTCATGATTTGCATTGGCATCACACCTCATTATACTCTAATTACTTGACAAAATTTTCATTTCATTTTCATCTCTCTCTTAAAGATTGTCTTTAGAGCCTGGCAATGTAAAGTGATGTGATGAAAAAGATGTTGCCTTACCATTTCTTGGTTCTTGGAATTGTTACTGGTCTCTAGCTCCTCATTCTCCTCATTCTCGTCATGTGCTGGGATGTTATCGTCGTCTGCTCCCTGTTTGCCTTCCCAAGGAGACTCTTCACAGCTGAAGTAGAAGCTCCTAAATGGCAGCTTCACACCATTACCAAAACCCCCTGATTCATTTGAGTCTACAAAATAAAGAAAAATGTATTCCACACTTGGTTAAATGCCATTTGTCCACAAGAACGTTCTTTCGCGTGGTATCTCAGACTCCACCATTTATTACAATAGGTCATTCGAAAAGTAGTGATTGCAGAAGCAGACTGATCTCCTGATGAGACATTGGGAGTTGATAAATAAAGAGAGGGAAAAATATAAGCATAACATTTTCATTTACATCAATCAGCAATAACACTGACTGCAGCCACCAAATTAACTGTCCATGACCACAATTTTCCACCATCTTTCCAGCCTATTCTTATTCCACGTTTGCTTCCCCATGTGAGATGTCAAAGTGTGATGATTTAAATGAAAAGCTAAATATTTAATTTGTACATCAAATACATACAAAATAGATGTAGTTACACCTAAAGAAGTAATTACTGAAACTGAAACCGGCTTTATATTCTGTCTGTAGTTCTTGAATAGCTTAAAAAACCCCTCCACCACACTTTTCCAACATCAAATGAAGTGGTCTGTGTGAGCCAACATTGACACCCATGTCACGCTGTGATTAGCCAGCTGTGCAGCGGTGAGAAAGGAGCCAAGGATTTTTACTCTCCAACTCTCTTTTTTTCCATTTGTTACACAACTCTGTCTCTTCCATCAAGGTCTTCCTGGAGTGACTGAAAATGCTCCCCTCTCTCTCTATGACAGCTGGCTTTTCTCTTCGCCCTCCAGTGTGGCCCTTCAGATTAGTTACTTTGATTTCCAATGAGGTCAGACAGCACAAACCATAACCCGGCCTTGACTGCTGGTATTTGAATACATGCACATACATACCTGACTGTGCAATACTACTGTCCTGTATGTCCGTGACAATCCAGTGGCATCTGTTGTCACCCCCTTCAGATTTCAGGTGGAAAGTGTCACTCATGGCACCAACAAGTTCAGTGACACTGACAAAGCCACTCTGTAGCAGCGGCAGCTCCTCACCAAAAAGCTTCTGAAGAGCAAAAAGCAACACAGCTGAGCTTTCCAATAACATCGCCATGCATCTTTCATTATTATCTCATCTTTCTAGATCAGTAAGGTGCACAAAAAGCAAGAAACAAAACAGCAAAGCCAATGCTTTTTATTTTGCTGGATTTTTAAAGACTGAATCCTGCTCCTCAAATAAGCTCTTTAACTCCCAACCCCCATGCTAATTTGTCTCAAACACTCATATGACGCTATGAAGGTGAACAGGAGCACTGCATGTCTGTGTTTCTTTTTTACCTTATACTCAGCAGGTAAATCGTGCACCGATATTCCACCGCTGGTCTGAGCTACAACCTGCAGAGTCATGAACATATACAGTGTTTCAGTACAAGACTTGAAACCATGCGTCTTGGTTGTCATAATAATTCTTACGTTATGAATCAACACGCTCAAAGCTAGTTTATACTGACAGCACTCCACTTAAATTGTTTGTTTTTCATCCACCGAGGAGATGTGGACACGAAAGGGAAAAGAATTATGTTCACACTTTGTTCGAGTTTAGAAAACAACACTTCTTTAGATTTATGGATTGATACGAGAGATTCACCATCCAGTTTACAGTCAGTATATACAACACAGACATACGTGACACAGTTAGCCAGACATTTCAGTGCTTCCAATCATATGGTTAGTGACCTTCACTTAATAGGCCTTGGGGTAATTCTTGCCATGAAAGCAAAGCATATTACAGACTTCTAATCAGTCACTAGAGACACTAAGACACCTGCTTGTGAACTACCAGGAAGTCTGACCTTTCGCAACTTGTCCTTCAGCTCCTGACTAATGGTGCCAGCTACTCCATTCTCCAGGATTCGCTGCTGGAGCTCCTCTTCCAGCTGATGTAGAATTTAAGTAGCAGGAACAAAGATAACTGAACTTAGATTAAGTAAATGTACAGTATATTTCCCCTCTCCCACAGTTCACTTAATGATTAATCTGATAGAAGTATTTGTTGAAGTATGTATTGTATTTTTATCTGCTGTATGTTAAAATGACTCCTAAAAAATAACATTCTGAATGTTTAACAAAGCTCCACGTGACTAAAACAAATGTTTTCAGGTTGCAATACAAAACTGCTGATGCAACACACACACCACTTTTTTTTAGCCTCCTTAGGTTTGTTTGCGTATCCAGTTTATGCAAGAAGACCTGGGAGGAACAGAATTCTGAATATTGTTCCTTAATTTTGTCATGTTTTGTTTTAAGCAAGCCATAGATATTTCAAGTGCAGTTACTACGTTTCTTTGTTTGAAATGTGACCAAACCTCAAGGACACGTTTCTGAAAGAGTTGACCTTCCTTGCAGAGCTTTTGTTCAGCTTCCTGGTTCTTCTCAACCGTGTTTGGCTTGTTACTGACAGTTGTTGACTCTTTACAGACAGGGCTTGGGGTAGTCTCAGTAGAGGGCTGGGACAGAGGACTCTGCTTCACTGGGACTTCAGCTGGAGAGAACAAAAGCATTTCAAAATATGAGGAACCCCTGCTCAGTGCTATCTGTGAAAAACTTACAATAAAATTATTTCATACACAGAGTTTGGAAAGTGTGTTGGTTTGTCATTACTGACCTAATAACCCCAATAACACTTAGCCAATCCATGCACTTTGGACAGATTAAATAGCAATCGAATCTGTGTACAGTGTAAATGCTATCGAAATACATTGGATATGGATTCTAGAAACACACATTCTAGAGAGAGATTTAAAAAAAAGTATAAATGCATCAGTGTCTCCAAAAACTAATGTTTTTACCACTTATGTAAACCCACCTCTCTGATAACACACCTTGGGGTATTGTTGATGTCTGAGCTCTGGTGCCAAACCCTTTGGACGCTGGCTTGTCAAATCTAGGTGATCCTGACTTTATAGGTTCAGTCCTCCTGGGTAAACTGGATGGTCTGAGCAGAGGCCTGGGTAGCATGTGTTCCCTCAGGGTAAGAACTGAGCCCAGCCTCCCTTGTTGGATAACGACCATGTCCCCCACTGCCTCCAGGACCTCTCCAGTGGAATAGAAGCCATAGTTGTGGACACGCAGGGGGTGGCCAAAGCACCGCAGGAAGCTGGACTCCAGGTCAGATAACCTGAGAGGACCCTGGGAGAGGAGCCGTATCATTACTCAAACAAGACAACATCTTGCATTAACATGAAAATATAGTCAGTCTGGCCTCCCTGCCTCTGATTTAGTATGTTTGAAATGTGTACAGCAAAACTCATGAAAACAATCTAGACACTAAAAAAATAAAAAATTATAATTCTTCAAAACTGCCCTCAAACACTAATCCAACAGACTCAAACAGTCAAGTGTATTATGGAGAACACACACAGCAGGTTTTGGTGGGAAACAATGAGTGATGAAGTCATACATGGGAGAGCAGGAGGCGGAGCTGTGCCCTGAGCTGGGCTGGGACAGCTGGAGGAGCACGACCTCTTCTAGGAAGAACCACAAAGGGAGACTGGTGACAGTAGCGGGGCGAGAAGTAGCTGATGCCGCCCCTCCTGACTTTCTTGTCAATCTTAGACGTGCGCTGCTTGGCTACCAGCTCTTCAATGTTCCGGGTGGACTCATCGCTAACAGCTGCAATGGTGGTAACAAATGTGAGAGCATGAAATACTAGAACTTGTTCAGATGTTTGAAAGGCAAAAGAATGAGGATCTGTGCATCAAACACTACTAGGCTTTAGTTGAATTCAATGTAATGTACTGAAACTGTATTCAAATACAAATACATGCACAGATGAATAAAAATACTCTACCCTTTAAGAATGGGCTACCATCTGCCCTGAAGTTAATAGACACCACATCAGGCATCTCCTTCACCATATCCATGATGTTTCTGAAACCCAGGAGTTTCAAGGGCATGGGATACCCTAAAATTCCAGCATAGTCTCGTCTGAGCTGCTCGGGGTCAAGGCCCATCTTGGACGAAATAAGCAAGGAGCGAACATCCTTCTTCAGTTTTGACATAACTTCTTCCTGGTTCATTTTGCCTGCTGACATGTGGAGAACACAGCAGGGGGCGAAATGTAATAAAACATTTTGTACATCCTGAACCCTGCCAGGTGGTATTATGGTATGAGCACCAGAGAGGAGGAATGCATTGAAGTCCACAAAATGATAAAATAAAAACCCCAATACTGGATTGCTTTGACTCAATCTTACCACAAAAATATACTGAATTAAACTTTTAACTCAAAATCATATGGTAAATTTTTTGCACTCAGATTCGTCTTTTAAGAAATATACATATATAAATGGATAAATGTGTCCGGAGATGATTGCAGTTGAGGTCATGACGCCTATCGAAACTTTTTCGCTTTCAGCCATCTTTAATTTCTACCTTACTTATATAAGACAGCATGCTACTTGACATTTCATGTCATTATAGCGTCAATAAACCTCTCGGAGTAACACTTCGGCACCATAAACAGAAGTAAAAAAGGTAAAAAAAAAAAAAAAAAAAAAAGAGCAAAAAAGAAAACTAGGTAGCTACTTGTGACACGCACAGACACGTCACTGCCAAATGCACATGGCTAACAGGTAAACTAGCAAAATTTAACGTTAGCCTCCACCTCGCAGAACCGAAAACCCCTGTAAGCTGAGCATGTAGTCCAGCAAGTTAAATGCTGCTGATCTAATACTAAGAAACTTATTTGACATTGTCTTTAACAGAGATACTACAATAAAATGGTTCCTAAAGTATTGTGGACATAACGTTACCTAGAGTCTTCAGTATCTCTGCTGCATCCTCCCACAATGTCTCGGTGACTCGGTCTAAAGTTTTGACTTCCTCTCTCTCGACACCTGTTGCTAGCAGACCATTGTGCACGTCAATCTCGTAAAAACAACTAAAAAAAGGACTGAGTGCTTTGCTGTCAACAGGTATATTAATACAAACCTCCAAACCTATTTGTTTTAGTTTAAATTAAATAAAAAGACGAGGCGGTTCTTTCAGTTACCAGTCTGGTTTAGTAAAATAATCAGTCGGTGCTGTGGTATTACTATGGCAGCGCTCCGAACAAAGATCGTTAATTGCAGGGGCGACGATGGCTGACTACCTCAAACGAAAAGAGAAAGTATCAAGGAAGTGGTTGGAGCTTCGTGTGCACCGTGGTAAAGTTTGGGATCAGTAGACTACAATAATGTGTGACATGTTTTAAAAAAATTTAATTTAAACATTTTCCAGCCTTGATAATTTACGAAAGGAGTGGGTAAGTGGTCTCAGACTTTTAGACCCCATCGTTTACTTCTGAAGGAGGCTATACATACAGTAGACGTACATGTAGGGGCATATACGTGTGAGTGGGTTTGTATGTATTTGAAGTGTATATCGTTCAAATTATCTGTAAGTGCAAATAAGTAAAATAAGAATAAAAATATATATTACTGAATATGGTTAAATGGTTGATAAATTGTAAAATGGCTTACTATAATTTAATTGCTTTGATTCAAGTGCCATATTTATTCACACAATTTACAATTGCTCTGACCAGCAGAAAGTTGGTCCTCAGTTCAGTCAAAGCTTACACTGCTTGATCTATAGGCACTGACTCCCTTTGGCTGGGTTTGCACACAATTAGACTTATGATTTCCACAACAGAAGCACATGTGTGCCACAGAATTAATGTTCGGTTTAATTAGGGTTGCATTAAGGAGGAGAGTGTGTCTTTTCCTGTTAAAACAGAAAAAAACTACATCAGCTCTTTGGAAAGGAGAGGCCTGAGTCTGCACATTCCTACAAAAGTGAAACTTTGACTCCCTGAGCTCCACTGACACAACTTGCCACAGTAAACTCTTACTGCTGGATTCCACACATTTCTGAATGGCACTGTTTTTTTTTTAAAGAAAGAAGTCCAAACTATTTGACCCTTAGACAAAGATTTGGACAAATGAAGGTTTTAATGTAATTTGTGTGCATGTTTTATGTGATGTGCGCTCTAATAGCATGTCCTGTTCACGATTTAATGATTGAATTCTGTTCCTCCAAGTTCAACTATTCCCCACAGGACACCCATGGCATGCATCTCCACCAACTTTCCAAAGCAATGATGTCAGCGATTTTAGACCAAGAATACATATATACAGTGGATATACTACCATGAACAAAAATTAATTTTATACTTATAAATCTGGGCATGTGTAGGATTATTTTCATGGGTTTTAGAGAGAGATTTTGATGTTTCTGTAATATAATAAAAGGTTTCCAAGCTGTAACACCTAAGGAAAACATTGGATTGTAAGAATAATGATAATAATGATAGTAATAATGAACAGTTGATTTTCTGACAACAGATATTGAATGTCATGTTCACTGACCTAAAATTATTTGAAAAACAGGGAGTGTAGCAGGTGGCACTCCCACTACCATCCTATACTCCCACATTCAAACAGTCATCCTGATTCACCATCCATGTATTCTGTCTCATTATCACAGTAGACGGCAACACCACTGACTCCAGTTACAAACCTCCGGCCAGGGGAAGCAACTCACAGCAGTAAAAGCCGCACCATTTTTTACTCCTCTCTGCTCTTTCCCAAAAACAAAACCCTCCACTAACCCATTGCACAGAAAAATCCCAACAGCCATCACTTCTGTGCTCTTTACTGCGGAACCTCCAGCCAGTATGGAGAAGTCCTCCAATGTCCACCCCAGTCATCTACCGAGATCCAGAATGAAGCCCAGGAGGGAGAGCGAGAGGGGAGCCACAGTGCCTCCCAGAGGTAACCGGCAAAGGTCATCAAAGGCAGGCCGGCTCCCTGAAGCATCATCAGCGAGGAAAGAGAGGCTACAGAAGGACAAACCAGGGAGGAATGAGGTGAAGGTGGAGCAGGAGGCAGAAGTGAAGTTGAAGTCTACTGTGGTGGATATAGACAGAGTAAGAGATGACGAGGTCAAGGAGGAGAACCCGGGGCTCTTGGAAGCAGCGGAGGAGGAAGAAGGTAAGTTGAAGCATGGAGAAAACCCTGGCAGATTGAAAACATTGTGTTGTTGTGTTTTTATTTCTTTATTTCTGCTTATGTTTTAGCATTTTTTCATGTTGACTTTTGTGTCTGCAATTTGTTGCTGTTGTGAGGTTACGTTTGTTATAGCACTGGTAAAACTGTGTTTAAGTGGTCTGTCTTTGAAGCTTATTACAGTGAAATCTTAAGTGTGAGCCAAAGCTTTTGGTCCACTTCCAGATTTTTTCTATTGAGTTGCCTTTAATATGAAAATTGCTGTTTACATCCAGTCTTCATTGTGTGTAATGAAGTTCCTTATACTCTGCAGATTTGAAGCACAAGAACCTGGGAGTGTTTGAGTGGCTGCTGATGGTCTTTGTCTTGGCTCTGGTTCTCCTCTTCCTCCCTCTGTCCATCTGGTTCTGTTTCAAAGTAGGAACTACACCACAGACCAAACAAGAAACCAAACACTGATCTACTTCACAGCAATCACGATCTTATACAGGAATTGTGTAAATGAGTGGGTTGAAAACAACTAGACACATGCAGTTTGTGATGTAGAAGAACGGGTGTGGCTGTCATGGGATGGATGAAGTTTATGTTCAGCTCCAACAACCTGAGAGAATTTGACATTGATTTAACTCCAAGCTGCTAAAAAAACAACTTGCAACTGGTGAAAATGAGCTTTTGAATGTATCTCAGTTGCCACAGTCCAATTTGGAGTGGAAGGAGCTGGTAGCAATCTTATCATTCAATTTTCATCGGAGACATTTATTGTCCATCAATGATCAAAATGTTGTTTCCACTTTTTCCACCTCAGCAAGAAGTAAAATATTTGGAGAAATTAGTGAATATTGCAGATTTTAACATGAAAATTGACTATTTAAGAAAGTCACACTCAGCATTTTAATCCAATGCACTCAAGTACAGTCAGTACAACAATGTGTCCATGCCCTGTGTCTGTGAAGATTCTCAGTCATCCACGTAATAGTTATCCACGGATGTCCATGGATTTCTGACTGTACTATATTTAATTGTACAACAGCATTGTATAACAACTGGCCTGCTTGTGTTGTGTATCAGTTGGACACTCACTGTTTTCCATTCATGTGGACTGACTGATGTCTGTTATTTTGACTGACAGGTAGTAAGGGAGCATGAGAGAGCTGTGATCTTCAGATTGGGTCACCTGCTGCGTGGAAGACCCAGAGGTCCAGGTCAGCACGGATTACTGTAATCTTTCACACTCAAGTGTCAGAAATGATTTAAAAACTATACTTTTTTCTGTATAAAAAAAAAATGTTTACATGTATGTGCCAAAGCAGTTGAATTGCCATTTCTGAGCAGGTGTGTCAGTGGTTGAATTACTGTTGGCTTTGGTTGTCTAGTGATCATACAGCAGAGCCATGAAAAGTTTGGACACTGTACAGTTAGTTAAAATAAAATGAATTAACTGTCTGCGATCCACATGTGTCACATCACTCAAAAGTCATTGGAAAATCATTAAAGAAGCAAAACACAACAATTATGCATGATACACAATATATCATCTTCCTCCCTCCTCTGTCCAGGCCTTCTCTTCTACCTCCCACTCCTTGATGTGTGTCACAAGGTTGACATCCGACTGAAAATGCTTAAGGTTCCTCCTCACACGGTACAGAACACGCAACTCATATATTCACATTTAGCTCCACATGTGAAAATGATGGTACATGAATGGACCGTTTACTGTACATGAACTTTGCAGGTGGTGACAAAGGACTTGGTAAGGCCAGAGCTGGGCGCAGTGTGTTATTACCAGATAGAGAACGTGGCTCTGTGCAGCACAGCTCTGTCCAGTCTGACCACAGTGTTGCAGACTCTGGTCCAGGCAGCGGTCAGAGATGTTTTCGCCCAACACACATTCAGCCACATCCTGCTGCACAGGAGGAGGGTCGGCCAGCAGATACAAGCAGCTGTTGACTCCGTTGCTTGTCGCTGGGGAATCCGGGTGGAGAGAGCAGACATGTAAGACTAAAGGAAGAAAAGTCCTCAGAGTCATCTGTCACTGTCACTCTTATTTTGTGATCAAGTGCTGTAACACACCTTTTTTGTGTTAACCATCCTTAGCTGCATGTATTTCAGCTAGTGAGTAACAACATTTCATTGGAATTCAAGACAGATAAATCGCAAACCATATTACATCCTGCGGCAGCAAAGCATTCTGGGCGACACTGTGTTACAGTGAGTGTAGAAGGTGATGTTGATGCCCCTCTGACACTGGGTGATTGTGTAACCCTAGTGCAAAGCAGTAGCTGCAGGGAGAAGCTCCTGCAAGTTGACTCTGAGGATCTGACAGCAAAACCGAATATTAACCGCTCATGCTACAGAGAATCAAGATGATTTTTGGAGAAGCATATGAGTCCAAAACAAAACAAAAAATCTGATTTGCACAACACAAAAGGGATAACACTGCTTCTGAAAAATGCATCACTTTCTGTGTGGGAAGGATTTTTCCTCTGCATGCAATGATTTTTCCAGGTAAACAGCCAACAGGAATGTTGAGATTTGTAGTTCCTGCTGACCAGGCTGGGTTGTGCTTGTGTTTGATTTTCTGTCAGAGACGAGCTCAGTTTTCCTGTGGAGTTACAGCAGAGTCTGGCTGCCGAGGCTGAGCTCAAGAGACAACAGCAGGCTAGGGTAAGTAACCATGCTAGCTTTTTAGAATTTAATCTTTATCTTATTGCACCTTAAATGCTTATGCCTCATTGATTCTTTTCTTTTTTTTTGTCAGATATAACATTTACTGTAACTAAAGGTTAAACAAACTCGGGGACTGTATTATTATCAGCATTATTTGCATTACATTTGGAAGATCAGAAGGTGAACTATACTTAAGATAGCTGATAAAAATTTAAATACAGTGATTAAAGTTCTATGTGTATAATTAAAGTATGCCATTTGCAAAGCAAGCCAGCAAAGCAAGCCAGCAAAGCAATCCAGCACAGAGTATAGCTGTGGTTAAGCCAGTAAAACAGTGGTTCTTTAGCCCTGCTAACTGAAGTTTATCTCTTCCTGTGAGGTCATTTCTGTATTTCAGTATTTGTAAAGAACACACTTTACATACGGCATCCCCTCTCTCCTCCAGGTAAAAGCAGCAGAAGGAGAGACAACTGCCTGGGAAGGGTTCAGGGCCTCCTTCCGTCACCTCCATCCTGCCCTGGTCCTTCCAATCCCCCCAGATCTCCTCAGTCTGACCTCTGACCACTCATCTCTACCTCCACCTCCTCCTCCTGCTGTGGAAGAAGCAGGAGGAATGACAGAGGAGGAGCCAGAAACAGACTCGCCAATGATGTGACAGACTGTCAACAGATAAAATGTTAACTATTATAATTATTATTTTTAAATAAGATGAAAAGATTCAGGAGATTTTGATCATATGTTAAAGACAACACACCTCAAGCCATTTGAGCACTGTTTAAGACATAAGTTTATCTTTTTTTTTTCTTCAAGCAAACTCAGTGTTTGAAATTTGTCTGGTTTAAACTGAGTTTTGCACCAAATTCCCTCAAAGCATTACTGAGATATCGCATTCACAAGGATATGACGTTTTTATATATGCAGTCAACCCGAAAACACAATGCCTCTGGACCTGGCTGTTGCCAGCGTGGAGACATAAAAATAATGTTCAGTCCTCATATATATATAGAACATATATTCACTTTATGTAGCTCTTTCAATTTTTTTGGGATAGTGCCACACAAAAATCTTGAACTATAAAATGTTGAATCTAGTGTACCATTATATTACCTGCCCTGCTCATTCAGTGTGTTTAAAATACAAAAATATCTTCACAATTCAGTCTAGAAAAAAAGGTCCAGAGAGGAAGAGAACTGTTTAAAATGTAATATCTGCAGAAACTTTCAATTTTGGAAGAAAGCAAAAATAAAATTGCTTCTACATTGCGTCAGAAAACATATGAGGTTAAACAAAGCCACAGCAAGCCGTAATATAAGACAACATCACCAAGTGATGTTCATTTTCACACAACAGCCATGTAATTCAAATAAGGACAACCTCCTGATACTGGGAATATTAAGGCAGCGCTGGTTAATGACCATTTTAGTTTTCTCCTATTTTTTTATTCATGTACGCCACACTAATTTGAAAACCTGTGAGATAATACATGGGCTGGTGTTGTGTTCCTCCCTGGTCTTGTTCCAACAGAGAACACACAATACATAAAATCATACAAATGACTTGAAAAGCAGTTCCCTCGACATTAATTGGACAGTCCCAAACATACAGAGTCGTAACATGCTCTAATTAGATGTCAGATCAGCGTTTCTTGGTCCTTTTAGTGCTGCTTGTTGGTTTGGCCTCGGGAGCTGTTTTCTTTGGAGGAGCAGGGGGTGCTACTGCTGGTGGGGAAGGTGGTGGTGTTTTCTTTTTCTCTGCAACACAAACAGAGTAAAACATTTACTGCTTCTACACTAAGCCTGTGTGTTACTGTCTCCCCTCCTCAGTTAAAAGTCATTAGACTTGTCATTAGAGTTGTTTAGTTGCTACCTTCACTACTTTTGGGCTCCAGACTGGGCTGACCCTGAAGTTGTCTCTCTAGGTCCCGAATCTTCTCCAATGCTGCCTGCAGGGCCTCCTCAGCTTTCAGGGCTCGTTGCTCAGCAGCCTGGACCCGCAGCTCAGAATCACTGTCAAACACATGGAGAGAAATCTAGATGTCCTTTGCACATCCACAAGTTAATAGAGGTCCTCTCTCCATTTCGGAGGAACAAAAGAAACTTGGCCAATGTGTGGACATTCAACAAAGTTATTTCCATAGTGACTGATGGTGACAGCAAATCAGATATATTTATTATTGTAGATGGATGTTCAACCATGGTGGTAACTGCTGCTCATACTAGCCTCCCAATTCTTATTTTAAATAAAAAATAAATATAAATTCTTTTGTGCGGCACAAAAGAGCTAATAGCCAGCGAGTGTTTCAAACAGTAAATGGAAAATCATTCAAAAACTGCATACACATTGCTATCGTCACTGTCGTCCTTTTTTGAAGCAGTCATAGAAAACACACTGACAGTTTTGGAATACATAAGGGAGAAAAATCCTAGATTTTTACACCAGAAGGTAAAATGATCTATTATCACAGTATTAGTAATATTCCAAAAATATGTAAGTGTTCCACACAACAATAAGAAAGTAAACTTACTGCAGTTCCCGCTGCAGTAATCCTACTGTGGTCAGATCACTAAAAGCTTTCTGAGCTTCATCTGTTGCTGGAGATACGACCAGTTCATCAGTCTGACAGACAAACAGAAACATACAGATGGTCAGAGAGACAGACAGACAGGCTCAGTTCAATACAAAGCAAAATGCATGCTCTGGATATGTGAATGCTTTAACTGTCTAACCCCACTCAGATAGATAGTGCTCTCTCCCAGTTTTCTTTGTATAATATGTCCATCATAGCCGATCAGCTTCACCACTGGTGTCTCACAAACTGTTGGCTCCCCCTGCAGGACAACAATAACACTGTTCATTTAGTGTGGTTGATACAGTGTTTCCCTGTAACCTTCACACCATGAAAAAGTCTAATCTCACAGTTCCAGACAAACCCAGGATTTTTGTTTTTTCAGATCAGATTTTTTCAATCTGTCAAATAATGGAAATGATGTCTATTTCATGGAAGATGTATCAATACCTCACAAACTTCTTGCTGTTGTAATTCATGTCCTTCAGTAGTGCTCTGTGAACACACAAGAGTACCATCATCATCACAACTATCCAAACTCAACAGGACTGGTCAGGGATTACAATTATAAGTAAAATGCCTTCAACCAACATGATATTTATTTATGCATTAGGCCAATCAACAATGTGTCCATCATTGTTACATTTCACAAAACAAAAATTAGCAAACAATCAACTAAAAATTGGTATAAAAACCATGACAGACGGTTCACAAATTCATTACTGGACTCTGAAAGTGCAGCATAATACAACCTTAATGCAGGTTAAGGTTAACACAGGACATTTAACCTTGATCCTCTGCTTAAATAAGAGTGTTTAACTACAAGAACAGCCTGCTTCACTTTATTAACAATAGCAATGATGCCTTTTCCCTTCCCTCAAACCTTTCACTCACGAGAGAATTTGAAGTGTGTAGTAAAATAAGTAAGCTTTTCACTCACTCCACTTAGGTGTTAAAGTGACTCACATCTCTTGATTCTGCCTCAGTCTCATCTTTGACCTCTGTGACCCCACTGCCTGTTGTAGGCTCTGCTGAAATCTCTTTGTTCACCTGTGAACACACACACGTACACAAACACACACACACACAAAGCCATCATCAAAATCAGAAGCACTGATCCTAACTACAGTTAACTCTGACATTTGAACAATGGCAATCTGTCTCTTCTGATTTCAGCTCTACTTCTTTAACATTGCATCAATATAATTGTCTGTTACCTGACACCAGGCTTTCAAGTCAAGTCAAGTCAAGTCAAGTCCAATAATGGAGATGACTAAGTTAAAATATATAACCAACAACAGCCACACATTTCTTCAGGAAATGTGTTCTACTGATCATTAATCAATATAACACATTCCTGTGGGTTGTATTTGAGTTGAATCCTCACCAGAGTCTCCATGCTGTCTGCTGGAGAGACTGTGTCATTATTTCTGGATGTGGTAGCAGGCAGTCTGACAGGCAGCTCCACAGGACAACCTTTCACCTTTGAGAGCAGGACTGTACAGGTCTCCTTCCAGTCAACGCATTCCCTCTGAGAACATGCACACACATTATGTAGGTTTGCTGAACTGAGCTTGCAGTTAAAATGTCTGACCTTCAGTCTGTCTCCCCCTGGTGAATTGTTGTAATATCACCAGGGGGACACAGACTGTACTTTAAGCTCCAATATGTTATGTGAAATGTAAAAACATGTAGCCCTGGCATTATGAGTGATTCTTTGTTATTTTTTGTGAGATTATTGTTTACCTGCAGCTCTTTGTACTTATTCATCTCATTTTCACCCTCAGCTTGATGTGGGTTCTGCAAAGTCTCCTCCTCCAGAATCAGCTTGCAAAAGCTAGAGTCAAAAACAAACATTTCCCAATGAGTAAATCCTCCTATGTTGATCCTCTCCCACTCAGATATCTTGCGTCAAACTTATCTCCATTCTTAACTAAAGATACTTTAGCTGTCATTTCATTTGTGTGTGTATATGTATACCCTGAAGAGGTTATCACTGTATTCTGTAGTAAGATTCAATTTAGTGCTGGCGTGAGACAAAAACGTTTACTTATTTTACTACACACTGATTTTTAGTTAATCTGGTTGACAGCATCTGCTTTGATTTGTAACACATGTAACAACCTCTGGTACCTGGTGATGTAATTGGAAAAACAGTCAAGTTTCTCAGCCAGGATCTTGGCATCCTCATCCAGTGTCTGTGGTGAGATGTTTGTAATGTATTGGTGTTCAGGTTCTTGATCCTGGTTCTCACTATGGTCAGGTACTATGAGGACCAACAGCTCCAACATCCAGCGGGTCTGAGCCATGTGAATAGAAGTGACCTGACAGGAAAGGAAACACTAAAATTCAAGCCAGCACTTTGTAACATACAAGTACATCTTTTGATTATGTAATAATGAAAACAAATCGAAAAACTATCTGAAATATCAGTCTCCTCTCCCTCAACAACTATTGTGAACATGGGACAGGGACTGAAACCACAACCGCCCTGGTAGAGCTGCTCAGTCGTAAACAGTATGAAAAGAACAGTAGAAATCATCACAGTGTGGAGTTACAATCAGTAAGTGCATGAATTTAAGACAAGGTGTTGTTGGAAAAGATGAAAAACGAATGAGTTATACAAAGAGCAAACAGAAATCACTGAAGAAGGTTGTGGTACATGGAATTATGTGGGTTAAATGGCATAGAAGATCCACAAGAGAAATGTTGCAGAGAGAGCTCAGGAAGTGAAGCTGACAGTACAAAGGACAGGGCAGAAAGAGGGAAGAGCAGGGAAAAAAGTGAAAAAAGAGATGTGGACTAGATTACCTTCCATTTCCAACTCAAAATGGCAAAACACCACTTGCTAAAGTCTGAATAGAAGTGGCATATTTATGAAAAAACAATATCACTAAGCATTTTTTCACTAATTCGTTGTTGATAAATAATTATGCAAAATCAAGTAAATAAACACATTCAAAAATATTTAAAAATGTAGTAAATCTAGCATTTTAGTCACCTACAGCAGTTGCTGAAACACAACCCTTCTTAGGAAGGGTTTTGGTCCGTGCAACTCCTGAGTATCACATTTCATGGAGCTGATGGGCTAAGTGACAATTAACTTTTTTCAACATTTTATAAATGTATGCAAACGTCCCTTCACAGTTTGACTGAACCTGGTTGGTACTTACCTCCTCACTGAGTCTCGCATTCTCACCATCACTGAAGTTGGACAGGCTGGTTATGAACTCCTGCACTTTGTCTAACACACTCTCTGTCTCTCTACTGTTTGAACAAACAAACACACAACAGAGCATTTCAGATCAATGACAAAGAACTACCTGGGAATATTAAAATTTCACTATTAAACACCTGGCCTTAATTTATCTTCTATCTGCTCATTAATAAAACTGTCTTTTAATCAAATTTTATCACAAGCAATGAATATAAGATTGTCTAGAGAAACTACAAATTTTTTCAAATTTAAAAAAAAAAAATTAATTGGACCCTTAGAAGTAAAGTAGTTTTTATTAGATTAGTATACATTTAAAACTCTGAGAGATACAATTGTGTGATTCCTATTTATGATAACTAGTAATGCCATTGAAGGTAAAACATACTATATGTCAGGCTTGTTTTTGTCCCCTTCGTTCTCTGTCTGTGTGATGGAGACATTCTGTAAGGCTTCTTCAGCAGAACTCAGCCATTTGTGTAGTGCCTTCTCTAGCTTTAGCCAATCAGACACAGGCATCAATTCTGGCCGGCAAATCATTGCACTGAGCTTGGAAACCCAGGACTCCATGAAGCCGAGCAGTGACGTGATCTGTCCGTGGACCCCTGAAACAGCAACACTTAAGTCCATATCCTAAGAAATCCGCCACAATGAGACCCATTAAAACATCAAGAAAACCCAAGAAAAAACACAGATCTATGAAGATGCTGAAGATGCTCCAAATTGTGTCTCTATTGGCCCTCACCACTCTCTCCACTGACTTGTGTGTCCAGCTGTTTGAGGACCTCAGATAGGACCCTGCCCAGCTGGCTTCCAGGGGTTTCACCATCAGGAGAAGAGTGTCTTCTGAACAGCTGAAGGCTCTTATCCAGCCATCTTTCCTGGACACGGCCAAGCTCACCCAGTGTCTGCTGGCAGCAGAACAGCTTCTCACCTTGGTAGCGCTCACACTGGAGGGCCAACATCTGAAGAGAAACAGAACATAGAGGAAGACTTAGTCTTAGACATACTGTTAACTGGACATACTGGATGACTCAAACATACCAACATATCCACTAGATATTTGGAATATAATCTAAATAAATCTAAATGACAGAGAAATAATGCTTTTAGGATTGTTTGAACATGAAGCCAAGTGTTATGCTAAGCTAAGAGCATTGTAGATAACTTTTCATAGATAATTCATTTGTGGTTAGTGTAAGATTTTCAAACAGATGACAAAGATGAGTAATGAATGATGAGTGGTGGACACATATGACACAGATGAGATAATAGAGACAGATGACAAAGGTGAAACACAGAAGACAGGTGACAGCATGGCATAGCCGACACGGATCAGACGTAACAAGTGACGATAATTATGAGAGATGAGTCTGATGCGATGGATGAAAGTGATTGGATGACAGGATTAGATCAAAAACATGACAGAGTTGACACAGATCAAATACATGATGACAATGTTAGAAATCAGAAACATGTCAGAAATACTCCAGCTTGATGACAAAAGGTGAGAAATATCAGGTAGATAAAATCAACAACCATAATGAAAAATACACACATACAGGGAGTTAATGTGGTGTCTTACATTTGACCACTGTGTTAAATCAGCATGAATCTTTTCCAGTGAAATTTTCTCACATTTTGGGTCAGGACACCTTGAAATAGAGAAAGAGCATCACTGACAGAATACACACACAGATTAATCTCCTCTTCTACAAATTGCTCTCAAGTATTTTGCTGAGTTAACCCTCTTTACTCTACTGGACGCTGAACACAGTGAAAGTCCTAAATTAGGTTGTTACAGTATTTTCAAAATTATATGTAGGTTTTTTTTTAACTAATCATACTATATAATAAGAGATAATCATTAAGTAATCTTCTTTGGCATCTCAACTTGTGCTTACTTGTTCTGTGTGGTGCAGAAGGTGAGCCACTTGGCGATGCCTTGCTGGATGGCAAAGATCTCTTCAAACTGAGCATGCTCTGTCTTCTTCATCTGGGACATGAAAGCAGTCATCTGCTCTTTCCAGTAGTTACTAAGCTCCATGATGATATTTAGGTCCTCTGTGTCCTACAGAGGGATGGTCACTGTTATAGTCAGGGTCTAATTGAACCACCAGCGACACTTACAGAGATTCATCTGCGATGTCGAGTGTTTTTGCTTGAGCAATATAAAAAAATGTTAGGAAGGTGGAACTGCGTTGTTACCTTTGAAGTGAGGTAGAGGAGGCAGTGCTCTGCTGTCTTAAACCAGCTCTGCTCGTAGACATGCAGCCGACTGACCAGCTGCAGCTTCTTCACACTCATCACCTGACAATCACAGAAAAACATGCTGTACTTGTTGGGATCAACAATTAATATTGTTTTTACTGAGCATCTTCGAGTAAAAATTTGATGCTAACAACCCAAAACTTATAGTGATGAAAATGTAAAAAAATATTATTAGCCATTAACAAGCCCATTGTGAAAACTCATTGAAAAATGTAGCAGGGCCTTTTCACACCATCGGCTTTAACACTTTATATTGTCAGCTGGGGCCTCCAGCAAAGCAGGCTGTATCTATCCATATTAATGAATTTCTCATTCCTCCTGATTGTACAACCAAAGCCAGTAACTCTGTTATGTATCATGTTGCAAACACACGAGGTGAGTCCAACTGAAAGAAAAAACTACATCACTGCTCACACACCTTGAGGGCGAGGCAGAAGGTGAGCTGGCTCCAACAGTCTCTCTCCTCTGTCATCTGAAGCAGCTGAGCCTCAAGGCGACCTCTCTGCAGCTCATACAGCTCATGGTAACCCTGGACCACACTGAGAAGAGCACATGGACAATGTGAGAGAGAACACTTGGTTAGAGTTTGTTCTTTTGTACTGCATGCTTACTGAATTTCTGCTGCACTTAAGTTACATTAAATATTTTCAAAATTAGCTTTTTGTTCTCTCATATAAAATTAAATTTTCTTTGATAAAGGATACAGTAACCACTACTGTGGACATAACAACAGGGATGCACTGCATTACAAGTATAAGAAATTACATGTTCTTATACTGGAAGAATCTTGTAGTGTATCACTCATTGCGACCAGATAAATAATGTTCATAATGTTCAAGCTGGTTAATTTTGGAATGTATCAACTTGATGAAAATGGGACTTGGACTGACTCAGAATTGGTGTGCGTCTGATCGAGCGACTCAGCCAGCTGCCAGTGAGCGCGCTCCGCCTGCTGGGAAACAAATGCATCATGGTCTCTGATCTTGGACAGTTCCCTGTAAAGAGGAACAGACACGAAGGCATAAGCACACACATATATAGACTCAGAAATAAGCACACATACATTTCTCATATTCACACATTCTAATAAGTGCTATTATTTTCATTTCTTGCATTTCTTATTTTCCTCTTAAAATTGAGATCACTCCATCAACACCCTCCAGTGCTAAACAGCACACAGTAATTTCTTTCATCATGATCCAGCTGCCTGACCATGACCAACCTACGTGCTGAGTTGCTGGATGGAAGTCTTGATGCGATGGATCTCATCAGTGAGCCGGCGGTCCAGAGCCCGCTGTGCCACTGCCTCCGTGTGCAGAGCCTTCAGGCGGCGGGGGATTCGCTCCAGCAAGGACTGGTAGCGCTGTCTGATACACACACACAAGAACTGCTGGGAAAGAGGCTTCCTGGGTCATTACTAGAAAAGGTTCCCTGAAAATGTCAAATTTCACCTAAACTATCTGTCAAAATATGTTTCAGAATTAACTTGAGGTACAAAAAGATAATACAGTTTACAGTTTTGTACAGTATACAGAACCATGTTTTATTTAGTTCTAATTTACATATTTCCATAATCTGGTTTTAACTGTTTTCAAAGCTCAAAATGTGCTGACAGCTAACCTGAGCTTGGCAAGCAGCTGTCCCCGCTCAACACAGCCCACGCTGACCTGCCTGATCAGTTCATGGAAAACAATGTTGTAGATGTTCTGCTCAACTTGCACCAGCTCCAGCAGACCCTCCATCTGTAAGACATTTCATTGCACTGTTTCTACAGTGTACAGATGGCTATATTTCTATAAAAATCCCCACATAAAACATATAACCCACATATTTATAGTGTTGAGATCTATGAGTTTGTAAAATCTGTTGCAGATCCAGATCCAGATAATATTCCAGATTTGGTGGAAGAAAATGCTGAATCTGCATTACACACAGAGTTGTATTTATTATTAACAGTAAGTAACAGTGCATATGGCACCAGCAGCATTTAGGAATGCTTACATTAGTATCTAATTCAACATGCAACAAATAAAACTACAAAATAACAACAGTGGTTGCAACACAGCAGCTGTAGAGCTATGTGAATTGAATAATGCTGACGTAATCATTTCAGGTAATAAAACCATACAGCTGTCTGTAGACAATAAATAGGTAAAGCTATACATGAGACCAAAAGTCTTGTAGGATTGTTTGGCCTTGGCGGAGGTATGCGCTCTAATGAGTGCCATTCTAGTTTTGCAGGTTTTGGCCCATTATTAGATTGAAAAGTTGTACAAGTATGTATTATTCTCTGTACATGAATTCAGCACAGCAAAACTGTCAGCCATAGAGGCACACAGACGCCTTTGTACATTCTGCTTATCTGTCTGCATACCTGGGAGAGCTGAGTCAGCTCCTCATTTTGCTGATCCACACCGGCCTTCTCCAGCATGTCGTCCATCATCCTCATCAGCTGGACCACTTCAAGTCTGCCACTAGGCCTCCTGGACTCACAACATACACGCAAATCTGTATTACTACACATTTCCTTGACAACATTCATCCATTATCTTACTAGCACTTTGCCTACCCAATGGTATATAGTTCTATTACCTCCTACCATTAAGATGTACCATTACTAATTCAGACAAAAAAATCTCCTAGTTCTTCTTCATGTTCTTTAACTCACAGTGAAGGAAAGATCCGTAGTTTCTGTTCGTCATCTTGCAGCTGTACTGTGAACGCACTGAGGAAGAGATGCAACATGAGAGTTGACAGACAAACAATTTGACAATGATAATATGACAATTGATAAAGTGGATAAACATAATAAAGCAGACTCACTCCTCATAGAACTCAAGGCTCCGCAGCCCTTTGTTTTTCACAATGTGATATTCTTCAGGGATCAGACTTTCTGAGACACTGAAGTTCTGTAAGACAAGGTAGCTGTGATTATCACCTCACACTGTACAGCCTACTTGTATAGATGGAGACGTAGATGGATGGCAATAAATTTAAACTCAGTACTGTTAAGTAAATCACAGTATTTTAAGACTACAAGAAATCCTGTTATTACTGAATTCGGAAAATCAATTTAACAATCTTGAAATATATCAAATTTCTGTTATTGTTCTTCGTTCAAAGTGCAGAAGCAAATGCTCAGTGATAAAACAGCATCATGTTTTAAACTTCTAAACAAACTTTTGAGTTACTGTACTCAAAGTACAGAAATACTCTGAATCTGTTGGGTAATTCTTTATATTTTTAAGTACTGCTTTTTCTTTTTTGTGTTATACCACATATGCTCCTGCTGGAAAAAAAGACACTATGAAGTAGGTTATAAAAAAAACTGAAAACAGAAATTAAGCCACATTCACTGGAACCTTTGTCAGAAAATGGTTAAAAAGCCAAAACAACTCAGCTGAAGCACCTTACCTGTGTGTCACCAATACCACTCCTGTCAGTCAGTGGTGGGAGGGGTGTTGTCTTCCTCTGAGTTACCATAGCATCACAGAGGAACGAAATATCCCTGTATGGACACCGTTCAAACAAAAAATTAAAAACACACACACAAACACACACACACACACACATTTAGTCTCTTATTTCATCTGCAGATTGCAGAAAACCAACTGTAACACATGCTTCATGTTGCCGTGATTCTACATTCATTATTGTATTATCTAATTAAAAATAACTGACTTCAGAACATACAATTAATTAATTAATTAATTAATTAATACAATTAATGCAGCTTTACTAGATGTCCAGTTCTTCAAACACAAAATCAATACAAAACTGGTTTTGTATTTACCCTGTCCTGTATTAGTGTCAAGATAAAACATACAGTACATGTGTTCCTTTAATTACTGATTGACTTAAGTTCTAATAAAATCTTTGGAGGGTTAGGGTTAGGTGAGGTAACAACATTGTTTATGTTTCTACATCTATCTTGTTTGCCTGGCTGACCTGCCTGCTCCAGTCAGGGACGTTGGCTGCTCTAGAAAGTATTTGTATTTCTTGCGTCCAAGTGGGTGATGCCAGACTGCATCTGGCCGTCTGATTCCACAGCCCTGTGAAATACAAAGTCATCTTAGGAACACTGGTTTGAACTGATTTCAGCCACACAGACATAACCCTCTTATATAAAAATGGGGCTTGAATGTACCTTGCAGTGCCGATGGTGTGCAGTGTGCCCCAGTGTGCTCCTGTTGTAGACAGTAGAGGTAAGGCTGGCCAGCAGTTCATCTGGGATGTTGATAGGAGGGGGCTGTGTATTTCTGCTCTCTGCTGGGACTTGAAAATTCAGTTCTGCTACTGAAAAAAATAAGATCAAGCTCAATATAAGCAGAAGGTGTATATCTCAGACACTAACCTTTAGGAAAGGATGGTATGTGTCTCATAGTTTGATATTTCCATATATAACATATATAGTATTATAGTAGTAGTTTCCCTCAAGAATATTTTTTTGCTAAACGATACACAACCAAAAAGTATCTGTAAGTATATCCAGGCATTCAGCTTTTTGTTTAATTTACTTTATATATATATATATATATATATATGTATATATATATATATATAAAATTCTTGTCTTTTCTTCTTCCATTTTATTTCCTGAAATTGTAACTTCCACATTTTAACACTATTGTTATGATAAACATGGTGAGAACATATGATTTTGTTACTAAGATTGAGGGGGGAATTTGTTTTTATCTTTGAAAGAAACTGATGTGAGCCCACTCTGTTGTCCTCAATTCAAACGTTTCAAATGTAGAATTGGTCAAATGCTTATGTGGCAGGTGTATCTATCTTACTCAATATGTGAAATGATGTGTACCATGGCAGTGTGAGTGATGTTCTCTTAACATCAGCAAGTCTTATGTCTGTCTATCATCCACCTGTTAGCTCATGTTAGCCTCCCCCACTGACTGTACAGTAACTTCACCTCTGGCGTCCAGTGCTTGCTCCGGCCTCGATGAACTTGGCGCTGAACTGGCTCTCATGGACGCAGACATACTGGAATCACGGCGGAAATGTTATACTAAGACTTTGGCAATAAAATTCTCAAACTCTGATATAGTCATAAGGGAATAAGCTAGTTTTATTTGCCAGAACTGAACCGTCTCTTCCCCTCCACTTCGCCTTTGACTTCCTGGTCGCGTTGCCATGGAAACGCCTAGCGCGGAAGTTTGTTCACTTTTTTTTTAATCTTACAGCTACACTGACTTTTGTGGCCTTTAAATTTGTACTTTTTGATTGTTATAATTGTGGGAACGATCTTTAAAAAAAAAATCAATATACTTTTTATTATAACCAATCCAATGTACATTCACAAACAGCCATTCTTTGATGGAATGAAATGATTCATTACATAAGTTGTATTTATTTAAGTGGAGCGAACCGATGAAGTTCCATGTTTCATTATTTGATGATTGATTCATTAGCCTATATAGTGTCACCGACTATAGTGCATCAATATTCATTACTTCTACTACTACTAACCTACTTACAATAAATTACAAAATAATACTAACCTATTAAAATAACTTCAAACTTATTTTCAATAGTTCACAAATACTGCCGTTGTGTCTAAAAGGCTACCGGCAGCTACCGGCAACTTTTAAGGTGGAATGTTTTCTTTCGTGGTATCCAATGCACGAGTTGACGTCGTGAATCAACTAACACACCTTAAACAACAATGGGACAACGATCATTTAGTGTGTGTGTTTTTGGCTCTGTTTAATGACACGCTTTAATGATGATTGGATCTTCCAGCGCTTAAAAATGTATATGAATTTCAACCAGATTATGCCAGCCGCGAATATTCTGTTTCCGCACTTGTGTGTTGCACATTTCAACGCCACGCTGCGGTCTGTTTTATTTCATGTGCGATGGAGGCTGTTGATGGTGCTCCAGCAAGAGAAGTGTGCATCAAGTGGATCAGGAGTTGACAACAGATGCGTCGCTGCAAGCAGAAGCAGAGAGATCCGTGCAGGACAAGACTTCAACACAACGAGCAGGATGATTTCCTGGAACGATTATGGATTTAATTAGTTATCATAATTTTGAATTACTTGCCTGCACCATTCTCATCTCATCACTGTTTGTGATAAATGGTAAGTTAATGCTGCTTTTATCATGTGGGTCTGAGTTGAGTTTCAATTTTCAGTCATTATTTAATGTCATGCTGCAGCTGTATCGTCATACATTTTCTGTAATCAACTTATAATCATGTGATCTGCTTATATTGTAAAACAGACAATTGGTCTTTTTATATTTGTCCAGCTTCAAACTAGAGTGAGAGTCCCATCGTTACACCATGCAGTATGTATTCTCGCAAGCCTTCAAGTACGATACTTATTCCAAACACGTTTGTTTTATTCATGCAAACATTTTCTCAAACATTGAAAGTAATCAAAGCCCTGTACAATTTCATACTGGTCACTGTGTGGGCGTAGTAATTGGCTTGCATTTCAACCAGTCCATGCTTGGAATTTCAATTACAAGACTATGAGGTGACATCACTGCCTATAGTGATCTCTATACACATTTTACAGACTGAAAAACTAAAATGACTAAAAGAGGTCTAACCACGGGGGGCAGTGTAGTGACCCGTGAGGGAATGGGGAAATTGGTGGGGGTTCTGTTGTGTGGGTAAGCGATGGGACAAAAAGAGGATGTCTCTACAAAACGCACAAAACAACAACAGCTCCTTATCACCACAGAAACAAACACACAGACAGATACAGCAGCAACATGCATCAGTCCGGAGGAGATTTCAGGTGCCCCACATGTGCCATTTGAGGGCCTCCAGATAGGACCAAACAAAGACCCTCAGAAGTCATTTGCATATGAAAAAGCCTTACATGCTGTGGGAGGGGATGTGTGGTTGGCTGGATCTGGATCTCAAATAGGCAACAGGCCTGGATCCTTGATAAGATCAAGCTCAATAAAACCAGAAGGTGTATATCTCAGACACTAACCTTTAGGAAAGGATGGTATGTGTCTCATAGTTTGATATTTGCATTTATAACATATATATATAGTATTATAGTAGTAGTTTCCCTCAAGAATAATTTTTTGCTAAACTCCACACAACCAAAAAGTATCTGTAAATATATCCAGGCATTCAGCTACCCTGAACTGAACTCAGAGGAATACTGAAAGTTGAGTGGACTCAGCAAAAAGCAAATTTTACAACAGACACCACCTGTCATGATTTCCTGCATCATATAAATGGACAGTCATTGACAAGTTTTTTTTCCCATGGTTATAAGCTTTTCTTAAATGTGTGAATGTGTAAGAGTCTAACATATACATGTTACACTGCCTTAACATGTGGCTCTAATCTGGTCTGAATTTAATGGCTGATCCTTGTTATAATGAGTGCTAATATAGGCATATGGTCAGAGCATCGCCACTGATACCCATGATCTCCATCACACCCCTGGGGCACTTGGAACATACCTCTGTCATGCTGAGTCCAAGTCTAGACATGTATAAGCTGCTCCAGGAGAACCGTGCCTGCTGTCTGTGAAATTGATTGACCTCCACCAATGACAGATGATTGGTGCCTAAGTTGGTGAAGACGGAGCACCAAGTGTGATTGTGCTCTTCTGTGTCTTTATAGTCTGCACTCAGCCTGATTGGGCTCTTGAAGGATGATTACTGTGCATGATTATTGGAATATCTCTGCTCATATCAGCGTTGCTACATTTGTGGCCCCCAGCTTCATAATTATGTCAAATCCTTCTTACACCCCTTCATGCAAAACACACCTTCAAGTATTGCCATATCCATCCAATATCTATATATTACTTTCAGGGCTTTTTAGAAATGTGATGCAGTCTGATTATCATGTAATAGAAGCAACACTTGTGCAGCTGATTTGAAGCTTCCTTTTTGTGGCATCATGCCTCTGTGTCCCCTTATACACATTCCAGGGATTACGTGGATCATTGCCTCTGAGCTGGTCCCATTTGTTCTGCCTGGAGAGCGGCGATTTTGAGATGCCTGGATGTTAGCTATTTGTCTTTGATGTTTTTCTTGCACATGTAAGCGCTGTAGGGGGCATGTGTCAAGGTAGATGAGATTTTAGAGGGAAGAAGTGAAGAAAAAAAGCAACACTTCATCATGGGGTTGAGGTTCTAGAGACGTTTGGTCTTCAGGTCAAAGTGAAACTATGTAAACTTCTTAAAATTTTATCTAACAAACTTGTGAGTACATGTTTGTGAAAACACAATGTGCAGCCACACACTGCTCACACCCACACAACTTTCATTCAATCTCTAAAATATCATAAATCCTTTGGAGAAATGAGTCAAGCAGATACAGAAATCATTTGTGATATTGTCATACTGTGTTTTTTTTTCCAAAATTATAGAAACTTAAGGGAAGGTTTAAGGGAAAAATCTTGAGTTTAGGCATTTAAGGACTTTGACAAAACTTTTCTAAAATTTGCTGTTGTTTTTTGAGAATTGAAAAAATAGCTGTCAAAATTATAGATAGACATGCCAAACCATAATAAGGTTTAGAATAGCGTTTGTCCTTGAAATCAACTGAATCAGCAAGTTTATACAGATAGTCAGGATTAATAAACAAATGTCTGCTTTTACAAGGGAAGTCTGGTGGAGTCTGACATTAAAGTGACATCTTAAATTCTTCTTTCAGGTGTGGATCTCATGAGCTGACTATTTATCTACTGTGCTAAAGCAATCTCCGGAAACATTTCCATTTGTATTAATATGAAAGATATTGCAATATAATTATCTGCAAATATGTGATGAAATTTATGATAGTGGAAAAGTTGAAATTGAAATTACAAGAAACACTTTATATATAAACACTTTGTTTACAACAAAAATATGAATAGCGTGTGATTTGAGTGAGGTTAATGTGAACAATTCTCTATATAATATTTTTAATTTTTAAATGGAAAACAACACAGATGATTAAGTCATACACAATTTGAGAATGATTACTTGTCATCCTTGTTTCTCAGGAGGATGAAGTGTTGATCCTTTCATTAGTATGGATAGCATGTGCTGACTGAAAACAGACTCAAACACAGAGCTCTAGCCATGTGGCCTTAACATCCTGCTGATTAAAACACACCATAAAGTGTAAAGCAGTAAATGCCTCTAATTAATTTCTTCTTACTTTGGTCGGATGTTCTTTGTCCTTCTTGCATTCAATCTATTTCTATGGAAACAGATTGAGTTCTGAAGCCAAACAGTGGAATTGGTTACCGTGGCAGCAAGCCATGACGCCTTGAGAGGCCCTTAATTGAGAGCACGTCTGCTTCATTTTCTTTATTTTGTAATAGATAGCTGTAGCTTCTTGGGGAGTTTGACCTGCTGATGGAGACTGAGCAACTTTCTTCATCTAATACTTAGTATCTGAGTCACTTTCATAGCATTGTAGATATAACCTGATGTTGCCAAGTAGAGGACATCAATAGTGGCATATTGAAAATGTTTTTTTTAACATGAGGATTGAAAATACTGATTTTGTGGTAAAAAATGATGTGATGTTTGGTGATATAAATATATAAATGTGTTCTGTTCATAGGTGCCTCTCCTGACAGGCTGCCTCAAACTCTGGACCTGTGCTCTCCAAACCCGTGCCAAAACAGGGCAATATGCAGAACCCACAGGGACGGCTACTCGTGCTTCTGTGTGCCGGGGTTCCAGGGGGCTCACTGTCAGATTGATGTGAATGAGTGTGTTTCACAGCCCTGCAGCAACGGAGCCACCTGTGTGGACAGAGTGGGCAGGTTCTCCTGTCTGTGTTCTCCCGGGTTTACTGGTGAGTGGGAAGAACTGTGCTGCATCTCCCAAGAGCATCTTAGGAGTGAGACGACATTTCAGTCCCTAAAAAGCAAAAGGCTTTGTCACGAGATATTTATGAGTTCATTACTTTGGGGATTCCTGGCAAATTGGACATACTAGAAAAAAAACTGTAGCGCTTACATGTGCACATGTATCATTTTATGTCATTTCTGTTTGGTCTGTCC